TCACTTCCCTGTTCCTCTGCCATCCTGGTTCCCCATCCTGTCCCATGTCCTTGGCAAACTCTCACTTGTCCCTCAGTAGCTAAATGAAGGATCACCTCTGAGCCCCCAGGAAGAGCCAGCTCTTTCCTCCTACACCGACGGCAGCAGCTCTTGCCACCCCACCACACAGCCGTAGCCCCAGTGTCTCCAAGTGCTCTGTGTGGTCCTTGAGGCAAGAAAGTTCCTGCCAGGTTAGAGCGTGCAGATCAGGAAAAGCCTGATGGAGAAGCAATCTGTGGACTTGGCTCTGCCAAGGGGAAGAAAGACACCTGCCAGGGTGGGGAAGAGAGGGCACGGTGGAGAGAAGGAACAGCTTAACCACAGGGAACCGTAATGAGTATGAGATTAGCACTGATAGGCAGAGGGCTGTGTGCAGGGCGAGATGCTTGGCCTGGAGTCACGATGGGGGCTTTCAAGGCCTTAGAGGAGAGGGTGGTTTTCACCTCCACACCCCAGGGTTGAGGACCCACACTTGCAGCTCCTGACTACACTCTGCCCAGCTTGGTGTCCAGCAGGCTTCCCTTTGGGCCCAAGCAGGGGTTTAGGGCTGTGGAAGTCTAGAGCAGACCCATAGGCAAACCCTCCTGTCTGGTTCTCCCCTGGCCTGCATCCACAGAGCTCGTGACCTTCTGGCTAGAGCCTGTCCCCACAGCCCTGAAGGGCCCCCCCCTCCCCCGAGACCTGGCCCCCAGCTTCTTTGGCCACTGAAGCGGCTTAATGAGCCCAGATCACGTGGGCCCCCCATGCCTGTGGGGAGGGCCCAAGCCCCCAGTGGCCACCCGACCAGGCCCTGACGTCAGCAGCATTAACCGTTCACCAGGCCTGTTTAATCTCTGTTCCATGGCTGGGCCAGGTTCATCCCGCCAGAGCCAGAGTCGAAGGCCGTGAAGGCCCCTAGGGGCACCTTGACATTGAGGTCAGCGGGGATGGCGGTGGCTGGAGGTGCCCACAATAAACGCCCCCTGCCTATAAGATGAGGGTGTGGCCACATGTTGACTCTGGACCAGCTCTCTGATCCTCTGCCCTGGACTGTGAATCAGCCACTGGGCATCCACTGATGCTGCTCACTAGGGTATAATTTACGCTGGTGTGGTAAGTGGGGCTGAGGAGGCTTCCGTCCAGGAGACTTGCCCTTCTCCCTCCACTTGCTGGCCATGAACAGGGCAGCTAGAGGCCAGGCAGAGTCTCCAGACCGTGGGATCCAAGAATATTTTCTCAGAATCCCAGCCCCTAGGGTCAGAACCTGGAGTGTGGGGTCCAGCGCCTCCATGGTATTTGGCCTCCTCTCTGTCTCTTGCCTAGGAAGGCTGGGTAGCTCATCACCTTCCTTCTAAGACAAGGTGGCTAGAGAGACCTCTCCGGGAGCCCGGCTCTCCTGACAGCTTCCTCTGTCTCAAGCCTGCCTCCTCCAGCCTTTCAAAGTTTTCTGTCTTCTGCCTTGCTCCTCCCCATGTAATCCCACCATCACCCTGCCCTGACCCACCTCACTCCAGTAAATTGTTTGGGCAGAGGGTCCTTAGCAGGGATGGGCAGCCCAGCTCAGCCAGGCCCCAAACCACCCAGTGGGATCCTGAAACACTGGCCCCAGCCCCATCCTCCCTCTCAGGCCTCTGAGCAGCACTAGAATGGCTACCCACATGTTTCCTGGGCTCCCTAACCTACCCAGTGTTCCCCGACCTCTGCCCCATGCTCAGGCCTGCTCACACTCATGCTCCCCTTCTAGCCCCATGCAGGCTCATTGTTCCACTTCCACCTGGACATTGAGGATGCTGCCCACGTGCTGCCTTCTGTCCAGTCCCAAGGATCTGTCTGACTCCTGGATCTCTCCCCCCAGTGGCCACAAGTCCAGAAAACTCAGTCCTCTCAACACTCCTTTGCAGCCCCAGCTTGGTGGGGGTATCACATGCACTTGATCACCATACAAATTCAGACCCTTGTCATTGAGTCCGACTCCTTGCAGATGTTGGTCCTATGGAGTAATGACATAAATCTCTTCCTCATGGAGCCTCCCAGTCCCACTCCTCTCATCCCCCCATGTCCAGCCTCTAGGAAAAATGTGTGTCACTATATACATGCTTTTATGAAAATTTTTATGATTATTTTTTCCAGAAACATATTTGGAAAATAGCATTGATGATTTTACTCCCATGAAAGCCAAGAATGTGAAAGTGTGAAAGTGATAGTTGCTCAGTCGTGTCCAACTCTGCGATCCCCTGGACTGTAGCCTGCCAGGCTTCTCTGTCCATGGGATTCTGCAAGCAAGAATACTGGTGGGTTGCCATGTCCTTCTCCAGGGGATCATGGCAACCCAGGGATCAAATCCGAATCTCCTCTATATAATACTATAAATACTGTTTTAGGTATAAATAAACTACTTAAGCTTAAAGTAGGACTTCCCAGGTGGTGCTAGTGGTAAAGAACCCACCTGCCAATGCAGGAGACATAGATGTAAGTTTGATCCCTGGATTGAGACATAAGAGACACAGGTTCGGAGAAGGAAACAAGCTTAAAGTAATGTTGTGAATTTTAACATGCCTACTTTCAACTTATCTGACATTTCTTCAACTACTTTAATGTTCTGTAAAAAAAAAAATTAACCTTTAAAACTACATGAAAACATATATAATAGGAGTGGGCATTTTTCCTTTTGCTTTGGGGTCCAATATGGTTCTACCAGGCTCTCTTGGATCTTGTCTTGATGAAAAATTTTGATATTCTGTTCATTATGGATTTTTGCAGGTAATTTTGATTTTTGAAAGTACTGCATTAATATTTATCTTGAGTACTGAGTTTTTTGGCACCTCCTTAAGTTTTACATGAGGTGAGTGCCTCATTTACCTCACCCTAATCTCAGCCCTGTGATTATATCCTAGCTTCAAGGGCTTCCTGAACCCAGAAACATAGGCCCTTGGGCTGGTGGGTGGCACCTGTCCAGCCTTCCCTGCTGCTGCTTCTTCCATCTTCCCTTCCCTTCCCTGCTCCTGCTCCATGCAACTTCTGTGACTCAAAGGCCCACATTCCTGGGCCATACACACCCTACTGTCCATGCCAGAATGAGCTTCCACCTCACAACCCCTTCTTGATCCAAGATTGTCCTTGTGAACATTTCCCATGGCCCCTTTGCCCCCTCAGTCCCTCTCAGGACACCCAAATTGATCCCATGCCCCCAAGAGTGCCCCCTGCCACGTTAGGTCAGTCGCTTCTTTCTGGAAAGAACCATCTCCCCACTCATGTCCAGTCCAGCACTGGGCATTGAATAAATGTGCATGATTCATGATCATTAACTCTCTCCTTCCCCTCAAGAAAGGACAACCAGGGCCTGATGCAAATGTTTATTGCTGAGTTTGTGTATCTAGCTGAAGGAAGTGCAAATTATGCCCTGGCCTTGTTAGATGGATGTCCCTTGCCCTTGACTACATCATGGGCCCCGGCCCCTGGGCATCAGCAAGGACTAGGTACTTGATGAGGAAGTGGGGAGTAGGGGTAAGGGGACATGGGCCTTTGTCCCAGATAGTTCAGGCGTGGCCTTTGTTTTTTCCCACCAGGGCCCTGAATGGGAAGGGTGAGAGAAGCTGCTGGCAGGGACAAGGGGGAAACATGGGTTTGCTTTCGACCCTACCTGAGGCAGACCCCTCTGGACATAATCTGGGCCTCCTTCCGGTCTCAAATCCTCCCCCTGGGGCTGATCAATGGGAGCTGGACTCTGCTCCCAGCCACCCCTCAGGAAAGTTTGACCATTGGCCACAACTGGTGTCAACAGTACCCTCCCTCGATAGAGTGGCTGGCCTAGAGTGCTGTGGGCTGGGGGGGGAGTAGGACGTGACTCTGGTGTCCAAGGACAGTGTGGGCAGAGCCTATGGGGGGAGGGCTTAGGGGATGGGAAGTTTCCAGCTTGAGTCTATTCCTGGTACCAGGAGCCCCCAGGCTTGCCCTGACTCACTAAGTCGTCTCCGTACAAGCTGCACAGGCCAGAGCTGGCTTGGACTTTGGACTCCTGAATCTGCTGGGCGGGGCAGTCACTGGCCACTGGGCAGATGGGCATCAGACCCTGTCACATGGAGGCGGTAAGGCTAGAATGGGCTGATGGTAAGCAGCAGGCCTGCTCAGAGGAGGGCTCCATGCCTGCCCCCTGCCCTTCATAAAGCTCTGGGAGAGAGGGCTGTTTGCTGAACCCAGACTTGCCAGGTGAGTCATGGGCCTCCTGGGGCAGAAGAGAGGCAGGAGATTAGTCAGTGGGGGTACTGCTGAGTCACCATGAGCTGTAGCTGCCCCAAGTCCTGCTTGCTTCTAGCTGGGGCTGGCTGTGGTAGGTCTGGGAGGCCAGTGCAGCCAGGCCGTGAAGGGCAGTGCTGGGGTGGCTAGGGGCATTGGACTCTTGGAGACCTGAGAATCCTGGGAGCCACGAGGGAGGGTTATAGGGCCTCAAGGCTAGTAGGGTTTCTGGCTTTGAGTGTGTGGCTGTTGGGGCCACAGGCTTGGGCCCAGGAGTCCTGGGGGACTGATAGGGTCATGTGCATTGGGGCTACAAGGTGGCAAGGGCTGCAGGGTCTCAGGGACGCATGAGCTCAGGCACCTGTGAAGAGAAGAAGGAACAGAGTCAGCATCCCTAAGCACCAACATAATTGGGTTCAGGCTGAGAGACAGATGGAGATGGGCCTGGAAGCAATGTCCCGGCTGAGTGAGGGACTGGGGCGGAGTCAAAAGAGAGCAAGTGGGTGGGGCTTGTGGGCCAGGGGCAGGGCCTGTGGCCAGGGGTGGAGCCTGAGGAGCCAGGGTGAGACCCGGAAGCAGAAGGGTCAGAAAGTACAGGGACCAGACGCCAGGCAGCGGAGTGGATCTGGAAAGCTGGGGAAGGGCCTGCAGATGGGATGGGGAGATGGGGATGGGGCCCCGGGGGTAGGGGTGGGCACTGAGGTCAAGAGGCAAGACAGAGGAGCATCCCGGCCCGCGGGGGAGACACCTCAGAAGAGTCCGCAGTCTTTGAGGTTCTCCTTGATGATGATGTCGGTGACAGCGTCGAAGACAAACTTGACGTTCTGCGTGTCGGTGGCGCACGTCATGTGGGAATAGATCTCCTTCACGTCGCGTCGCATGTTGAGCTCGAGGAATTGCACCTTGATGTAGTTGCCGGCGTCCTCATACGTGTTGGGCCCTGACAGGGGAGGGTGGGGGGGCTCTCAGTCCCTGCCGCGAAGCCTCCTTCGGCGGCTGGAGGAACGCAGGCCGAGAGAGTGGCTTTGGAGCGCCGCCCGATGTCAGGCCGAGGGTCTCACCGTTGTAGTCCGGAAAGCAGATGCTGAGGTGCGCCTTTTTGATCTTCTCCGAGAAGACGTCCTTCTTGTTAAGGAAGAGCACGATGGACGTGGTGGCGAAGTAGCGGTGGTTGCAGATACTGTTGAACAGGTGCAGGCTCTCATGCATGCGGTTCTGAGGAGGGCAGAGGCTGTTGGGCACCGGGGGGACAGGGATCGCCACCCCCCTCCACCTGGGTGCGACCAACTGGCCGACCCCAGCCTGCTCTCTGGGCTCCGGGTCCCCACTCAGACAGCTCCAAGACTGTCTCCTCCCCCCACTCACCTACCCTCCCTTCATCTCCTGATGAAGAAGCTGCCTTGTCTCCTCCAGAGAGCTCTAGGAGGAACGTCCTCTCTCGGTTGCTCGCTGAGCCTGCAGCGCTGTCTCCTGTCTCCCCTTTCCTCCTCCCTGCTCAATCGCTCAGGCCCAGCCGGACACTCACCACTTCGTCGTCCTCCACCAGCACCATGTCGTAGGCGCTCAGCGCGGCGATGAAGATGATGCAGGTCACCCCCTCGAAGCAGTGGATCCACTTTTTGCGCTCTGAGCGTTGCCCACCCACATCGAACATCCTGCGGGGCCATGAGGACCGGAAACCCGTGCATCAAGTCCCCCTGAGATGCCCACAGGCATTCCCTGGCTTCCTAATGTTGGCTGGGAGGCACCCAGGTGGGCCTGGCATCCAGAGGGGCCGGACTTCTCTGCCGGCAGGGTGTTGGAGAAGGGGCAGGGTCTCTAGAAGGGCTGGGACCTTTGCGACCAGACAGGCCTCAGGCAGTGAACTTGGGGGCAGGCCTCCCCATGCCAGAGGAGGAGTCAGGGCACAGTGCCCTACCGAAAGTTGAGGTCCTTGAAGGAGAACTGCGTCTCAATAATACCCGTGGTCTTGACACGGGAGCGCAGCACATCCTGTTCCGTGGGCACGTAGCCCGGGGTTACCAGGCGCTCCAGGTCTGAGAGGTAGCTGTGGGAGACATGGGGTGTGGGTAGGGTTGGGTAGATGCGTGTGTCAGGGCCCCGCCTGCCCCCCACCCCTGCACCTGGCCTGTGCTCTCACTAGCCAGCGGAGTCATTGAGCTGGTACTCTGAGGCTCGCTCGAAACAGGCCTGGATACCGGAGTCCTTCCATAGCCGCTGGATGATGTCTGACATCTCCTTGGGCATCGTACCCTCCTCGATGGTGTCCGCCATGTGCATCAGCTTCCGGGCGTCATCCTGAGGGCAGGGGAGTGGTTGGTGGTGACCAGGGGCTGGGGCCCTGCCTCACACCTCGAATCCCCAGAGCCCCTGTTCAGCTAGTCTCTTGGCACACCTGGCGAGCAGAGTCTCCGTACTGGATGTTGAGTGTGGTCATGGCACGCACGATGGCCAGGATGGACTGTAGTGTGTTGCCATAGATGATGGCAATGAACTCGAGACACTCTTCCAATGAGTACCCGTCCTGATGGATAATCCTGCAGCCATGGGAGCCGGGTCAGCGCCTCTTGAGTGGGTCAGGGGACAGACCTCCAGTGTACGCCCAACCCCAGGGCCTCAGGTAGGGCAGGGGCACCACCCACCCCCAGGGCCTCAGGTAGGGTAGGGGCACTCACTTCATCTGCTTGACAATGGTACTCTTCCCAGATTCACCGGCACCTGGAATGGAAACCTGGCCTCAGTGATACACAGACCGCACCATCCCCTCTATCTCACCTGTTTCCTTACCACACTCCCAAAATAAGGTCCTGATGCCCCAGAAGCAAAACCTAAATGTCAGGAGTGACCGAAGGGGGCTGACGAGGCAAATGGACAACCTCAACTCTGTCCTGGAGCCTCCAACACCTTGGTATGCTGTCTTTTATCTTTCGGAGGCCAAAAATAAAGAAGCCTGGAGCTCCACCTTGTGGACGATTCTGGTACTACAGGCATGGGATTATTTGAGCCAGGTCAACCCCTGCTTTTCCACCTGGGGTGGAAGGGAGTGTCCCCAAGAGGCTCAGAGGGAATTAGCACTTTTGCTGGGGGAGAGGACAGAGCTGACAGTCCTTCTGAGCCTGCTCTCGTGTGGGTGTCGGGCACAGTTAATGGGATTTCTGGCTTAGCCTGTCTTCCCTGGGGTACTCTGGTTTGGTCTCTCTACTCACATTCACCTGTCTGGCTGAACCCTGGACAGCCTGGGTGAAGCCTGCAGTGCCTTTTCAAAACAGTTCCTTCCCTTGGTGGTGGCAGGAGGAAGTACTGGATCAGTTCTATCTCCCCTCACTACCCATGGGACTGAGGACCTGGCTTTATCTATTCCCCACTGGGCCTTAGTAGCCCTCTACACCTTTTAGTTGTCCTGCAGGTCTGCCAGCAATAAAGCTCTGGAAACTGAGGGCCACTGTGTGTGGACCTGGGAGGTCCTAGAAGCTACCTACTCTCAGGAGGACTGTGACCTTCTCCTTCCCAAGGGAGCGACCTTGTTGTGGTGCTCCAAACGAGGCCCCTGGTTTCTGGGCCTTGCCCAGCAGGCCCGTCAAGCCAAAGGCTGGGGTTTGAGGGAAAGTAGCCAGAGCAAACGTGGGCCTTGAACACACGTCTCTAAAAAAAGTGTGATTGGCAGACACATCTTGGGAGGGGAGGTTGCCTGAGGTTTGAGCCCTCTAGAAAGGGTTTCTGTGGGATACCTAGCCTTAGGGAGCCAAGAGTATCACCACCATCAGGCCTGGTCTTGCTTGGCCTGGGCTCCGCTCTGCTTGTTGCTAGGCTGTAGGCTCATTCTGTTTCCCAAAGCACAGCTGCTTCACAGAAGGGCCACCTGCCTGCCCCCGGGCCTCTGACTGGCAGACGTGGCCCCTCCTCAGCCCACCCCCTTACCCAGAAGCAGCAGTTTCACAGTTCGAGCATCTTTCTCAGCATCTTCTTTCAGCTTCTTTTCCAGCTCCCTTGAGTGCTTCTCCTCAGCGCTGGCCCCAGCCCCCATGGTCCCGGCAGGAGGTGAAGGAGGAGGGCGGTGAGTTGGTTCTTCTGGATGGAGGGGGTCCCCAGAGCCAGGCTCAGGCCAGCCTCTGGCCTTCCCGGACACCCTTCTAACCCCAGAACTGGGAATCCAATGGCTGTCTACAGATCTGTGCAGGCCCTGGTGGGGCTGCTTAGTAGGATTTGGGGGTTGTTGGTATCCAGGAGCCAATCAGAGACAAGGACAGGTGAATCCAGCTCAGCCCCCAGCCCTCCTAATCAGGCTGGCATGGCCCCAATCCCTCAACTGCTGACTCTGCACCCCCCTCTCTGCCGCTCCCCAAACCCTCTGAGACCCTGGAGGTAGTCCAGCCCCTGCTCCAAAGCAGGGGGACAAGTTCTGGGTGGCTCAGGCTCAGAAAGGGGAAGAGGGAGCCTCCATTCTGGGGGTGGGGGTAATGGGGGCGGGCCTGGAAGCAGATAGGAGAAGAAGCCTGCAGGGAGCACCTGCCCACTGCCTAGTACTGGGCTCAGCACTGCTCCCTGCTGACCTCACACCGGCCTGGCGGATGCGCACCACACCACTGCACCGACGAGGAAGTGGAGGCTCAGAGGATCCCGTGGCAGGAGGTGGTTGAGAAGGGCCAATGACTCCAGGCCAGGGTTCCAGGATCAACAGGGAGTCAAGAAGAAAAGGTGGACATTGCATTTGCCCTGTACCAAGGGCTGGATCCAACCTGGGCGAGGCCTCTACCTGCCTCCATGATTCCAACACACTTGGGTGTGTGTGCATGTATCCTGCACTGGTGTCAAGCAAGGCAATGACATATGTTTGTCTGTGTACACTTGCGTGTAAACATGTGCCTGTGCTTTCATGAGTACAAGTGCATGTCTATGCTCATTTGTTTGTGTACCACGTGTGTGTGTGCATGGATGCTTTTGTGCACTTCTCATGTGTGTGTTTATGTGTGTACCTTGCTATGCTTATGTGGGTTAATGTTGCATGTGTGCGAATGTGTAAGTGCATGCCCATGTGAAATGCATGTGTGTGGATTTGCCTGTGTGCACGTACATTTATGCACGTGTCTGCCTGTATGTGTGCACATTTGCACGTGTGTGTACCCATAAACTTGAGGTCAGCAGTCTGACCTGTAGAGGTGGCCAGGCTCTTCCAGGGAATGTCTTGCAGGCCTGTTATCAGATGGGAACACTGAGTCCCAGAGCAGGTCTGGTGCTCTCAGGGGAGGAGCGGATGAGCCCCACTCCTCTTCTGTCCCCTGTGGGTGCTCTGGGACCTGTTAGGGATATCTCCAGGGCATGCCTGCCTCAGCTTAGGGGTTAGATGTCTGTGTGGGGTTCAGATGGGACAGAGTGTGCTAAGTGGAAGTGGTTCAGCTGAGCATGTAGTGTTGAGTTGCAGCCTCTGGAGTTTTGCCACCTCCCATGAGAAGACTCAGATCCTGGGCTCTCAGCCCCCTCCTGGCTGGACTCCCCAGAAAACTTGCTGCCTTAGCACTCAACTCTTGCAGACACAAGGCTGCCAGGGCCCCATATTCTGAGCATTGAAGACTGTCCCTAGTGTTGGGCAAGCTGAACAGGCACATGTAAATCAATGAAGTTAGAACACTCCCTCACACCACACACAAAAATAAACTCAGTCGCTTAAACACTTAAATGTAAGACAGGACACCATCAAACACCTGGAAGGGAATGTAGGCAAAACATTCTGACATAAATCGTACCAGTATTTTCTCAGGTCAGTCTCCCGAGGCAATAGAAATAAAAGCAAAAATGAACAAATGGGACCTAATCAAACTTAAAAGCTTTTGCACCTCAAAGGAAACCATAAACAAAATGAAAAGACAACCTAAGGAATGGGAGAAAATATTTGCAAATGATGACTGACAAGGTCTTAATTTCCAAAATATGCAAAAAAGCTGATGCAACTCAACAACAAAAAAACAAATAATCTAATCAAAACACGGGCAGAAGAACTAGACATTTCTCCAAAGAAGACATACAGATGGCCGACACGCATATGAAAAAATGCTCAACATTGTTAATTATTACAGAAATGCAAATTAAAACTACAATGAGGTACCACTTCACACTAGTCAGAATGGCCATCATTAAGAAGTCTATAAATAATGAATGCTGGACAGAGTGTGGAGAAAAGGGAACCTTCCTACACTGTTGGGGGGCATGTAAGTTGGTACAGCCACTATGGAGAACAGTATGGAGGTTCCTCAAAAAACTAAAAACAGAGTTGCCATATGATCCAGCAATCCCACTCCCAGGCATAGAAAACTGTAATTCAAAAAGATACATGCACCCATATATTCATAGCAGCACTATTCACAATGGCCAAGAAACAAACCTAAACATCCATCAACATATGAACGGATAAAGAAGATGTGGTACAAAAACACACTGGAATACTACTCAGCCACAAAAATAAATGAAATAATGCCATTTGCAGCAGCACAGATGGAACTAGAGATTATAACACTAAATGAAGCAAGTCAGAAAGAGAAAGGCAAATACCGTATGATACCACTTATATGTGGAATCTAAAATATGACACAAGTGAACTTTTACAAAACAGAAACAGACTCACAGACATAGAGAACAGACTGTGGTTGCTAAGGGGGAGTGGTGTGGGAGAGGGATGGAGTGGCAGTTTGGGATTAGCAGATGCAAACTATTATATATAGGATGCACAAACAGTAAGGTCCTACTGTGTAGCACAGGGAACTAAATTCAATACTTTTTGATAAACCGTAACAGCAAAGAATATTTTAAAAGGATGTATAAATATATGTATAACTGAAGCACTTTTCTGTACAGCAGAAATTAACACATTGTAAATCAACTATACTTGAACTAAACAATTAACACACACACTGACCCTAAACACATGGGAAGTAGACACTGGTTCTGTGAGATGGGAGCTGGTGGCTTCAACAGCTGCCCTGGGTGAGGGGAGATCCGTTCAGGAGCAATAGATTATTTGTGCCACCTTCAACTTTTAGGTTCCATTTGTCTTCTACCCTGCCACCATGCTGCAAGTGGGCCCTGGGAATCTCTATAGCCCTGTACACACTGCCCAGGGGCCCAGGTGTATAAAACCAACAAAAATCTGCTTTCTATATATTGGGTTTGCTTCAAGTGGGACTATTCCACTGCCTCCTCATCCCCACCTGGCTCCCCTTGCCTGCCAGGTATGGCCCTGAACCCTGCTGGATCCCTGAGCCTCCCTAGCTATTGGCTTCCCCTGCCAACACTCGGGAGAATCCACCTGCCAATGGAGGAGATATGGGTTCAACCCCTGGCTCAGGAAGATTCCCTGGAGAAGGAAATGGCAATCCACTTCAGTATTCTTGCCTGAAAAATCCCACAGAAAGAGGAGCCTGGCGGGCTACAGGCCATAGGGTTGCAAAGAGACACACATGACTGAACACGCATGCACACCAAGGCTTGACTCATTAACTTTTGGCCCAGGGCCCCCAGCCCCACTTCCTCTCCAGCGGCTCCCCACTTATCCTGGTCTTCCCTGCCTCTGGACATTTGCTTGTGCTGGGCCCTCTGCTGAGAGCTGGCTGGAAGGAGACAGGAAGGATGGGAATTTTGCTGATTCTCGGGCCAGGGGCACCTGTATTGTGAAGGCTGTGGCTTTGTCTTGCCAATTCTGAGTCCTGAGTTCCTGGCAAGACACAAAGCCAGGTGAGAAAGCAGCGTGAGCAAACAATCAAACGGCTGAATGAATGAATGAAAGCTGATCTTGCAAAGGAGACCGTGGGAAACTGGTGGTCAAGCCACATTAGTGGGGGCAGGAGGACAGAATCTAGGTGTGGGCTGAACTCCCACCCTCCCTCCTGTGCCAAGGAGAACGCCAAAGTCCAGTCCCAGAGCCAGTGTTTATTAGCAAGATGGAACCCAAGGGCAGGTGAGGCCGGGCAGCAGAGGGCTGCCAGGAGCCCCCACCCACCTACCCAACTGCCCCCCAGAGCTATTTACACCCATCATCTGAAGTGGTGGGCAGAAGGGAGCCCTGGGGAGCCCCTGCAGGCCCCAGGCCTCCACCATGGCCCTCTCCCCCCTCAGTGCTACCTGAGCCTGGCCCCTCTGCTGTTCTCCCAGCCCCCGAGTCACAGTGGCACAGAAAAAGCGAAGAGGAGGTAGAGAGGCCAGGCAGGGTGGGAAGGAGGGGCCGGAGGGGCTGCCCCACCCAGGCAGGGCTCCTCTTCTCCTATCCCCAATAAATAGAGAATAAATACCCAGGAAAGGGCTGGCCTTGACTGAGTGCCCCTCTCCCAGGCAGGCGCTGGCATCCTGTGCCACCCCCTTCTTCCCTTCTCTGAGTGCATCTGAGCCCCCGCCCCCCCACCCCCAGTCTCCAAAGCAGTCCTCGCCTCCACGTGCACGCCAACAGCACAGGCTGACGGAACACACTGGCAAAGGTGTGTGTACAGTCCGTGCCCCATCCAGGTAGAGCTTGCTCTCTCCCTGTGTCCTGCCGATCCCGCCGGTGGCTGTCGAGCAGGTAGACTCCCAGGTGAGCCTGGGGACTGTGTGGTCCTGGCCTGACCCGGCCAACTGGCTGGGCCTGGTTAGGTGGGCTCTGTTTTCTGCTGTCTCTGACCAGCTTGGGTCTAAGTTCTGGACGATGCTGCCGTTGAGGCAGGTTATTTACAACCCACCAATAAATACTGTCTTTGCAGGGGCAGGGTGTATATAGAATATAGATATTTTATATATATATATGTATATATATATATATATCTTTTATATTAAAAGGAACAAGGGCTAGAGGCTGGCCCATTGCAGGGCTCAGACAGCAGGCCTCATGTGTCCGGCGGGTGGTGGCGGCGGTTCCGGGGTTTTTTCTGGTCCTGGGGTTTAGGAGGCCTGGGTGCCCCAGGGGCCTCCCTGGGACTCGGGGGCACGTGGCGCCAGTATCCCTGGCAGTACTGGTGGATGAGGCCCACTTCTGGCTGGGCCAGCAGCTGGGCCAGCTCTTGGTAAGGGGGCGTGGGGGGGCCGGCGCCCGGGGGCGGTGGAATGCTCGCAGCTGGCGGTGGGAAGAGGGCCGCATGGACGGCGTCCCGGCCCAGGACGTGCAGCTGCACCCGTGTGATGACGTGCTTGAAGTTGTTCTCGGTGGCTGTACAGGAGTAGAGGCCGCGATCGCCAGGCTGCAGGGCGCGGAGCAGTAAGCCCTGTTCGGTGCGGAGGAAGCGGTCGTCTGCGCGGATCTGCGGGGGCAGGGGGTGGGACTCAGGGGCTGCAGGGCACCTTTGTGGCCACCCCATGGAGGGACACCCCTCTGGAATTGCCGTGGAGCAAGAAAAACCCACAGGAAGTGTCCATGTGACATCTGAATAAGACACACTGCCATTTCCGGAGGAATGACCATAAGGGGAGTCTGTGGAGTACACATACAATTTCTGTTTAATGAGAATAAACAGATGTTGGGGCACCCTCCTAGAATTTCCGTTTAAGAAAGGATTGCCTAGAAGCTATTTCCATAATAGGAGGGCTACCCGATAGAATTTCCAGATGCTGGAACCCACCCACGTGACAGTTCCCATACAGTGAGGTACACTGCCAATCTAGTACACATATGGAACTCTCACATAAAAAGGCATGCCTACAAATAGTTTCCATGTAATATGGAAGCCCCACAGAATTTCCATATAACTGGATTCACCCAAGTGATTTCCACACCGGGAAGGGTGCTTGGAAGGACTTTCTTAGAGTGAGGGCTGCCCCACTCCTAGTTCCTATACCACGCTTCACCCACGTGGAATTCCTACTGTATGAGGGACGCTACCATCCACGGCAGGGACCGTGGGGCACGGGAAGTCACCTCGCGGCGCCGGTCACTGGGATCTCGCTGGAACAGCCACTTCACGGTAGCCTGGGGCGAGCGGGGCTGGCACTCAAGGAAGGCTGCGCTCCCTGCCACGCCGTACTGCACGGACTCCACGGCGTTCTTATTGGCTGCAGGGCAATAGGGTGCCACGTGGAACAGCACCGCCTCTGGGCAGACTGCGGGCTGGCGGGGGGCACATGCAGCCACACACCCCCACATGCACACAGGCAGGGCTATGCCCTCAGGCCTCCACTCCTGGAGGGGGTGGCCAGGGACGTCCCTTCTCCAACCCCTCACCTCCACGGACCGTGGGAGGATCTGTGCAGTGGGGGCCCCGTGAGCGGCTTTGTGGGCCGCACGGCTCCGCGCTGAGGAGCGCCCAGCGGTAATGAGTCACAGCACACTCACCGTTGGAATTGAACCCACGGCACTGCCTGATGGGGTTCCCATGCCGGACGTCCTGCCGGCGGCTCCGCCTGGATGAAGATAGCTCCTAAAGAAGTATTCTCAAGAAAGCTTATTCCCCCCCACTCCCCACCACCAGGTCTCTAGAACCCCAAAACTCCAGGCTAGAATGCCTCACCCACAGAGACCTGCAGGGCAATATCACATCCACCTCTAGACCCCCAGGACAGAGCCTCGGGTCTGGTGATCAGAATTCCCAAGGTCTCAGGGCCCGCACCTCTTAGAAGACGCTGTGTAGCGGGAACAGGCTTGGCCATCCCAGGCACAGTAGGGGTCCCGGGCGAGGCAGCAGTCAGCACAGGCGGCCCCATATGCCTGGCAGCGGTGCAGGCTCAGGTGTGTGACGCCCACAGCTGAGGCCACGTACAGTTGTTGCTGTGGGCAGGGGTAGGGGCTGGTCAGTTCCCCCCAGCAGCCAGCTTTCCTTAGGAGCCAGTTGAGCTGGGCTCCTCCCCTTCCTGTTTGGTACCTCGGTATCCCCCATCTCTTTTTACCACGGGCTTGACCCCAAGGGGAGGCGGGTTCCACTCCCACTCCCAGCCCACCTCGCCTAAACTCACCCTCTTGGAAGAGATGGTCATGGTCTTAACAGGTGCTGGGTCCTAGAAGAAAACAGGCATTAGCGTGCGACCCTGGGGACCCCTCTTCCTGTCCTGACCTGGAGGTCTGAGGTCAGGAGGTGGTACCAAGGAGGGCTGTGGTGAGCAGGACAGGCCCGGGTGGTGTCACACACACCTTGAAGACCTCCACCTCCTCCAGCATGAGCTCCTCCATCTCCTGGTCGTCCTTAGGCAGCACGATGACTTTCTGCACTGTCCCGCGGTCTGGAACGGGCCGGGCAGGGCCTCAGCGGGGCTGAGGGTGCTGGGAAAGGGGCACCAGCCTCAGCCCCTTCCCCACCAGGGCCCAAACCCCCCAAGGGCAGTGGAGTGGGCATGCTCTGTGCCAAGGTGGAAGAGCAGCCCTCAGATGAAGGGAAGAGGGCTAAGGGGGCTGGCCCTGCATAAGGAGGGAGCCACAGCTAGACTCTGCCCCTCTGACCCCAGACCCTCGTCTGGGAAGCTGAGAACAGCATGCTGAACGTGTTCCCCTCGGTTGAAGACTACTGGGACAGTGGTGAATGTGGTCTGCGTGTGCACACGAGAGCATATGTGTACTTGGACCCGGGTGTCCTAGAAGTGCCTGCCTCTGTCTTCCCTCTTCCTGCCCAAACAGGGGTCCCCAGGCACCCTGGGTCCCCATCCTCCCGGCCACCAGAGATGGGGATGGGAATGGGGTTTCCCCACCCCCATTCTCAGTTATCCTGGTAACAGAAGGCCCCACAGGATGAAGGTGGCAGGGCTGACACGGACAACCTTGTAGCAACCCCCTGGGAGGTTAGGGCCCAGCCCTGCGGGTCAGCCCTCCACCCAGCGGGCCCAGCGTGGGAGGGGCCGGGAGCAGCAGTGGGTACCTGTGCCCAGGAAAAGCACCTCATAACGCCCGTCGGCTGCATCCACCTGGTCCACGGCCACAGTGGTGAGACGGTAGGGGGCGCCCGTGCGGACCACCAGGGGCCGCCGCTGCAGCGGGTAGACGGCCTGGTACATGAGTGGGTGGCTGCGCATGAAGTTGATGACTTCATCAGGGTAGTCCTTGGTGGACTTCATGGACGGTGTGAAGGTTCCGCCAGGGCACTGCAGGCAGGTGATGAGCATCAGGCCCAGCCCGCCCAGGGCCCGCCGGGGCCCATTCGCTCCAGAAGAGGTCTCCCCTCTGTCTGTGCCCACCTGCTGTCTCCACCTGCTCCACTTCTCAGAGCCGCCCCCCATCTGGGCTTCTGCCCACCACCCAACCTGTCTGCAGGTCCTGCTCCAGCTGAGGTCCCCAGGTCTCACCCAGCCAGATCCCATGGCCATCTCCCCAGCTCACGTGCCGTGACTTTGTGGCAGCCATCTGGCAGAGCTGAGCATGGCCTTTTCAGGTCCTCATCCCCACCCACTTGTCTGCTTCTTCCGACTGCTCTTCCAGACCCCTCACTCCTCCCCCCGCTCCACCCCCTGCTCAGCGGGAGCTCCTGCCCCAGCCTAGCCATGTGATCGGATCATGATGTGTTCCTCCTTCCACTCCTGCGGTGGCCCCGTCACACCAAGATCAGGTGGGTCACCTCCCTGCAGGGGCTCCTGCCCACCCCACCCCCACCTCCAGCCTGCCTTGAAGACTTCCCCCACAACTTCCAGCTCCCAAACAACCCCCCCTGCCCCCAGAGGGTGCAGCCTGCCACACCCAGCCACCATCTCTGTTTCAGGATCCTAGCTGGCTTCTTTCACAGCCTGACACTGTTTGTAAATGGTGGAGTTTTCTTTTTAACTTCAACTTTATAGCGGGTGAATGGGGAGTTTATACATGTGTGTGGTCCACCCTCCCCTCCCCGCCCGCCACTTGGCTATGAGTGTCACAGTGGTGGGGCCCACGTCTGCAAAGGGCCTGACCCAGCATAGGTCGTATAAAGAGAGGAAATGGAAAGGCAGGCTGAGTGGGGTCCTCACCGTGCCGGGCCGTGGGTAGGGCATCTTCCCTGAGAAAGGCATCCACTGGTAGTTGGGGCCCTCCTTGTGGGCGAAGGGCCCGTTGAAGACCATGCGGATGTCAGCCATGGAGTAGACACACACGGCAGAGCCTCGGAATACAGAGCTGCAGGCAGGGCAGGCTGCTGCCGCGGGTGGGGCAGACCCTGGGCCCAGGGCCCCTCCCCGGCCTGCCTTCACCCACAGCTCCCCACCAGGATGGGGTCCTCCACAAGTTATAGCCCCTCAAACTGCCACCCCCCGCTACTGCTGGCCCTGGCCCCAGCCTCACCCCGAGGAGGTGAAGACAGCATAGATGACTGGGTTCCTCACATCCTGGGTCTGCTGGACAAACACATCCTCTGGGGACAGAAAGAGAGGGGGCTGGGAGCATACCCCAGCCAGGAGCCCCAGGGCCCTGCCCACTTCGGGGAGGGGGCACACCAAGTTTTCCCGACCACCCGTCTGGCCGCCCTCCCCCGCGGTGGCCACCGGGTGCTCACGGAGCTCGTCGAAGTGGGTCTCGATGCCATCCTCGCCCGGCACGGAGCAGACCAGCCTTGCCTTCAGGAACGTGCTCCACTTGTTCACCAGGCAGCAGTGGCCGCCGTCATCATTCTGGGGGGGCAGGCGCCGGGTCAGATCAGCTCACTCAGCCCCAAGACCCCACCAAAGCTGGGCTGACAAGAGCCAGGACTGGGCCTGGGGAGGGGGCGGCAAAGGGGCCTCGTACCAGGCAGATCCGCCCGATGCGGGCGTACACGGCAGGGCTCTGCGGCGCCTCTGTGGACCGCTCGCGGAAGAAGAAGTAGAGCTTGTCGTCGTTGCGCTCGGCGCTGTCGGGGATGAGCTCGGCGTGGATGAATGAAGGGTCTGCAGGCAGGCAGGGGTCAGCAGGCCGGGCCCTCCTCAGACAAGGCTTCTTGCCCAGGTCAAGTGTAGGAACACCCCCAACCCTTCCCTGAACCTGGGATAAGAAGCCACCCCTGCCCTAGCCAGTCAAGGGCTCCCAAATTTTCCATGAGTGTTGCCTTATGGTGTCCATGCTGCACCCCAGACATGCTGCCCACCGGAGCGGTCACGGGCTGTTCTCACCATTGAGCCACCGAGAGTTGTACTGATCCGTGCGCATGGCCGTCTGCTTGCCAAGGGTGCGGAAGATGGCTGCGTCGGTGCCCATGAAGTCGATGTACACGCCTGCATAGAGCTCCTCGTCTGCAGGTGGGCCAGTGAGTCAGGGGGACGCCCTTGGCCGAGGCCGGTGCCCAGCTCAGGTGGCCTCCGGGGCAGGGGCCCATCTCCCCCCTCAGGTTCTCCCAGGTAGCCATACCACCAGTGGGGCGCTGGGGACTGTTTTCACAGCTGGTTCTGGGAGGACTGGGATTGGTCGCAGTTGGCTCTGATAAGCAGGCAGAGCCAGTGTCTGTGGTGTGAATGCTCTCACCAGGGCTGATTTCAAGCTATTACCCTGAGTCACTGAGCAGAGTGGGGAAGAGCTGCTCAAACTAGTGGATAGAGTTTCTCACGGATATTCACAGATGTAAATAATCTCAAGAGTACAGATAATAATAAAACATAGTAAAGTAATTAGGAAGTAATGAGTTTGGAGTATCTTTACATTTGTTTTACAGTAATTTAATTGTAAGCTTATATAATTGACTTTTTAATACTATCTGTGTTTAATAGCTGGCCCACAAAATACCTGAACATTTAACAGAAAACCTGACAAGTGCGCTGGCTCCAGCACACCACTCCAAGGTTCTCCCAGCAGGCCTTGTCTTCCCCCATCAGACTCCCTGGTCTGGATCCTGCCATCCAGCTAGGGGGACTTCTTAGCAAGATGGGGGAAGATAAAGCCCACCCACTGCCTTTCCCAGGCTTGGAGGTGGCACATTGCCCAGCAGCTGCTGAGAGGCAGACACGATGGGCAGCCGGACAACAGGCCAAGTGCAGGGACCTGGGTCAGCACGGGGCTTGCCTGACCTGGGGGTAGGGGGCCACAGCTGCTCCTGAGGCCCCAGGCAGGACTCCTCCTCAGAGAACATTCTCCCAACTGCCCCAGACACCTGGCCAGACCAGAAACCAACTCTCCCTGTCGGTCTCTGGGCCAGCACACTCCACTGGTGCTGCCCTGTGGGCCTCTCCTGGCCTCCCAATGATCTAAGGCAGATTCCGGGACCAGCCCTCATAGCAGATTCCGCTTGTCTTTTCCGAGGAAGCCTGCAGTCCAGAGGGCTCTGACATTCGCATGGACCCCAGCGTGGATTTCAGGGTAGAATCTGACCCCCCCGAGCCTGTCCCCGCCCCCCCATCCAAGGGGCTGGATGGAGGCTCATGCCATCTCGCCTCTGCCCGTCAGCTACTGGGGTCTGGTCTGTACCCTTCCCCTTGCCAAGTGAGGCCACGCTGCAGGGGGCAGGTTTCAGACAGGGCAATTTCACAGTCTCTTCCCTGAGATAAGTGTTGGGGCCATGCTCCCTGCTCCAGAGGCAGAGGTCACGCTTTTAGGCCACAGAACCGGGCGGGGTGAGGGCACTCACTGATGAGGGCTGAGGCTGTGTCCAGCTTGGGGTCGTAGGGACACTTGCCCTTCCCTGACTCGAGCTTCTCAGGCTCCAAGTAGAAGATGTAATCCTGTAGGGCAGAGAGGGGCGCAGCATCGTCCAGGCTGTCCCACAGCCAGGGAAGGTAAGGGTCACCAGACTGCCAGGGTGACAGTGAGCCCTCAGGGGAACCCTGAAGCCACCCTGCTTCCCTCCCCAGATCTCACTGGGTTTTAACTCCATCTGGCCAGGTCTCCCAGGGCACAGCCGTGCTGTGGGTTCCCAGGGAGATGCTTCCTGGTCCAGGTCTCAGATAAGACCTGGGAATCATAGGTCTCAGAGGACTCTGCTTTGGGGACCATGAGAGGGGCATGGGGTGGGCTTATGAGGGCTGAAGCCCCTCCATGCCACTGGTTCAGGGAGACTCTGCCCAGGGTCCCCCAACCCCACCCCGGGCCACAGAGGCACACCTCTCTGAGCTGTGGCTGCTGGTCTCAGGCCACAGAGTGGCTGCCAACCTGACCAGAGCAGGGGGACTGGCCAAGGGCCTGCAGTCCTGTCCTTTGCCATCAGGTCCCACCAGGCCCGAGGGCTCTGAGGTTATTGTGCCCCACCTGTGGTCCTTGGGACAGACTAATAGAGCAGGGCCTTTTCCCTGCCCCTCAGCAGAGCCCCCAGCCCCACATGTCTCTGTGGGGGGCTGGGAGTTGAGGGGTCTAGCCCAGACTACGTGGAATTCACAAAGCCCCCCAGGCCTCCCAGCCCATCCCTGCAGGCGCTAGGAGGAAGGCTGGTGAGGGCACTGAGGCCAGGATGAGCTCATGAGCTGGTAAAGCGAAGGAGAAGAGACAGGCAAGAGGCAGGAAGAAGGTGCAGCAAGGGGCAGGGATGGTGATGGGAAGGTGTACACAGGCCTGCTTCCAGTTCCACTCTGCATACACACGGCTTCCTGCACACACACGGGGCTCACACAAGGCTCGGCACGCGTCACAGCCAACACACGGAACCCACTGTTCACACCCTGGGCGCACACACACGGAGTCTGAGTGGTCCCACCTTTCAGCACTCCCTGCCACAGACACACCAGCTCAAGTGACCACTTGCTCTGTCACTCACCGGCAGCCCCTGCCCCCTGCCCGCCCCTGCCCAGCCCCGGCACCACCCAGCCCCGGCCCCTGGTGGCCCCCCAGCCCAGGCTTGTCCCAGGTCAAGTCTAGGAGACACACAGTTCTGCGCCTCCCACCTCGGGCATGGGGGTGTGCAGGACACCTGCGTTATTTAACCCACGACCTAGGGGAGGTCTGGGGCACAGAGCCCTGAGAGCTACGCCAGGTTGAATCCATGTGCCATGCTCCTGCACTGGGTGCTGAGTATGGTGTGGGCTGGAGAGTGCCCTACACGTGCCCACGCATGTGTTGGTGTGTGCTCACACATGCCTACACACGTGTTCTGAGGGTGGATGAATGGCATCCCAGGGGCTCCTGTCTTCCCCAAATGGTGACTTCATGGTTTCCTGTTACACTGAGGCTGACCCGAGTCCAGCTGGGAATGCCTTCAGAGCCCGAGGGCGCTGCAGGGGAAGGGGTGGGAGGGGGCACACAGGCAGACGGAAGACCCTGCGGAGGCTGGCCTGGGGTGCGGGTTCCTGGCTGGAAGGCCAGGCCCGGGGTGAGTTCGGTTCTGAGGCAGGACTGCCTGGCAAGGGCCTGGAGGGATGAGGCCCACCTGGCGTGGGGCTGTGGGCGTCGGGTAGAGGGCACCATCGGTGGCTCTGCTGCCTCGGCCTCTGACCACCTGCATCTGGGTCCAGGGCGTGGCCTGAGAAGATGAGGAACATGGGTTAGAGCCAGGGGTGGCAGGGGCTGGGGGAGCGGGCTTGGGCTGCCAGCCTCTCACACCACATGTGCCAGGGACACACAGGCGCACCTGGGCCCCCTGGGCTCACACGTGCACCGCCGTGAGGACACGTCCGCACAGCTGGGCCACACCTGCACACACCCATGCCCCTTCGGTCCAGTCGCTCTCACACACACTCTACGAGGTCACACCAGCTCACACGCACGCCCACATGGAAATGGAGGCGGGTAGAAGCAGGCGGGTGGGCGGGCAGAGCTGAGGAAGGGGCAGCTCTCCCCCAGGCCGTGCAGCGGAAGCTGACTCAGGCGTCCAGCCTCCTGACGCTGAGGCCCCCACCAGGCCCTCTGGCTTCGCTGCAGGGGCACCGTCCACAGGCAAAGCCAAGAGACCTGCTGCCAGGGATGGAGTGAGCGGTTACTACACGCCAGGTACAGTGCCAAACGCTCTGAGAGCATCAAGTCACTGCCTCCTCCCCACACCGACCTGTTAGAAAGGCAGTTATGAGCCGGGTTTTCAGGTGAGGAAACGGAGGCTCTGAGAGGTGGAAGAAGTCACTCATCCACGGTCACAAGGCCAGGAGGTGGCAGGGCTGGGGCTCAGGCCCGTGCTCCCGTCAGGACCCTGGAAGGCAGCTCCCAGTGGTGGCAGTACCGGGCCCAAGTGGGGGGCTTACCTGGGCACGGCGGCCACGGTTTACGTAGGTGCACATGGGGTTGTAGGCGCCGGTGCCACACACGTACAGGTGTGTTCGGTTCCAGGGCTGGATGAGCCTGACGAAGTTCCCGCACTCACCCTGGGGCCGGAGGGAAAGCCAAGGAGGTGCCCAGATGCCTGCCTGGCCCCATGCCTTCCTGGGGTCCCGGTGCGCCCGGCCCTCCCCATTCCACCCCACCCGTGGATCCCACCACACTCACATTGCCATCCTTGCCCGAGAGCACGCACTCTTCAATGCGCTGTGGGGAGGCTGCCCAGTGGATCTGCCAGAGATGGGGGTCAGAGGGCCTGCGGGCCGGGGTCCCCCACCCTGGGGCCCGCGTCCCCCCTCGCCCCCTGCCCCACATCTGGCCTGGGCCTTACAATGAGGGGCTCACGGTTGATGTCATGCAGGTCCAGGGACAGCACGTAGTCCTTGCTGCCCACATACATGCGGTCGTGGTCCTCGTCCTTGAACAGGATCCGGTAGTCGGTCGTGTTGAGAAGGAAGTTGAAGAAGTGGGCCGTGCCTGTGGCCTTAAGCTCTGTGGGCGGAGGGCAGGGCAGCGGTGAGGGCACCTGGAGACCAGCCAGCCATTCCCTCCTCAACAGAGGCAGTAGCCCCACCCCAGGGTCATCGTAAACCCTCTGCTTCCCTTGCAGGGCCTACTTGGTAACCTCTTGAGTCCCTGACATTCTTGGAGGAGAAAGTGGGGCAACGGGTGGGCAAGCCAGAGAAGGGGCCACACCCAAAGCTGGGGCCGATTCATCCGCAGCCCAGCCAGTCTCCAGGTCCCAGTGAAAGGACAGTGGGCGCAGGCCAGGGCGCATGACGGCATCAAAGACTCTGCTCAGGCGGGGGTTAATGCTCCCACGCTCAGGGTGGGGCCAGCTTCCCACAGGAGCCTAAAAGGGTTAATGAGCAAGGGGTAGGGGTGGGGGCAGGTGCATCAAGGGAAGCTCGAAGACGCTGTCACAGAGCCAGGGCGCGCTGTCCTCACCCCAGCTGCCAACAAGGAAGGGGGCAAAGCGGGCACACATAAGGTCTCCACCTTATCGGAAGCAGGTTAGCCAGGACACAGGAAAGCCTTGCTGGAAGCAAACTGCCCAATAGACCTTGGGCTTCCCCCAGACCCCATGGGGTTGCTGATGGTGGAACCCTCAGGCCACTTCCTGGAACCAGCCAGGAAGTCCTTCCCAGAAAAGAGGCTGCCCTCTGGGGCTGCAGCACCCCCGGGGGTTAGAAGCAGCGTCCATCTGAGTCCTCAGTTTCCCTTCCGTGTGGCCCTCGGACCCACAGGCTGCTGGGGGAAAGCCTTCCTTTCTGAGGATGAAACACAGGAGGGAACTTGGCTAGTGATAGGCCAACGACAGACAGAGGACTCCAGGAAACTTGGGAACCTTCCTCCTCTGGGAGAGGGAGTTCCGTGGGGTCCCCATGGCAGGCCCCTCCTCCACCCACCCCCCAGCTATTTTCAGCTCCACCGGAGTGGAGCGATTGTAACCAGGGTGATGGATATTCACCAGCATGGGAGGCTCGAGACGGTGGCACACAGAACGAACAGTATGTATGTATGCACCCGGCCCCCAGGTATACACACATGTACACATGCACCCAGCCCAGGTATACACAAATGTACATATGGGTCCTATGCCACATGAGGCACCCACCAAGGGAGATCAAACATGTGCAATCTCCCTGCCCCACAGCTGGTGACCCATTTCACAGGTGGGGCAATTGAGGGACAGGACCTGGAGAGGGGGGAATAGCTGGGATCTGAGGTCCTCAGGGTGGAACCAGCAGGGGGCTCCCTCCCATTAGTCCAGGCTGCCTTCTACTGGGGCAGTTGTCTCTGACTGGCCTGGCAGACCCTGGCCCCCTGCTGTGCACCCAGGAGCTGGGAAGGGGGCTGGAGAGGCTGAGCCGGAGAGCAGCTCTGAGCAGGAGCTTCGGGATGTGCCGAGACGGGTGTGTGAGGTGGGCTGGGAGCCAGGGGACTCCCACAGCAGACCCGGAGGCCACGTCCGAGGCCGTGCCCCGCCCAGCCCTGACTATGGCAACAAGAGAATACAGGTGATGACCTTGGCCCACCGCTGGGACGCAGGGACGCCAAGGGATCAAAGGGCCGATCCCTGCCTGGCTTCGGCCTCGTTGGCGGTGCCTCTGAAGTCCTGGGCAGGGCAGCCTGGGCACCTGTCCTGCACCTGTTGTTGGGCCACTCGGAGTCCCCCGCCTGGCCACCCGGCCATCGTGACAACAGGAAAGTAAACACTCCCCCACCCCCAGGGCCAGGAAGTGGCCAGAAAGGAAGTGGGGCTGCCAGCAGAGCCCCCCCAGGCTGGGACAGCCCGCCAGGGGTTATTTATACCCTGGCTGGGGGCATGGCCTTGACGGTGCCCTTACCCATCCTGCTGGGCTAGGGGGCATTTGGGGGGCAATAGGGGGAAGGGAGGCGAGGCTCAAGTGGGCACCTTCAGACACAGGGATCTAAGGTGGGGGGGAATTTCAAATATCGAGCCCCAGGGATGCAACTGGCTATAATCCCTACATCCCAGCCCAGCCCCATGGGCCCCTATAATCCGAATCCTCCCACTCTACAGTGCCAGGACTCCCCAAGTTTTCCAAATCCCCCTCTCAAGTTCAAAGCCCTGTGAGGACAGAGGAGAGGGCCATTCAGCAGATGAGGAAACAGACCTACAGGAGGAGCAGGAGGCCGGCCTTGACCTGACACCCTCCCTCACAACCCTGGGGATGGAGGGAGCCTCTCACTTAGTCATTCCGTATCTATCACAGGCGAAGCCCTGTGCTCCATCCAGTTTACAGAGCACAGGCACAGAGCAGGGAAGTGACACATCGGAGTGCGCAGAGCGTGGGATTCCCGCCCAGGTCCGAGGCCTTTTGGACTGAAGGAGGGGCCAGCCCCGGCAGAGCCCATCCTGGTGGTGGTGGTGGGGATTGCCCGCCGGGAGGGCAGGGGCCGGAAGGTGACTTGTCCTCCACTGACAGGGCACATGACTCAGGACCCTCGGGACCCCTCCCAGTGGCCACGGGATATGGCGTCAGTGGCTCTGTTGTCACAGGATGTGATGTTTTGGTCACTGTGGAAACAGGCGGGTGTGGGGAACCCCCACAAGGCTGTGTAGGGTAGGGAAGGGGTGGGACAGGGGCCGGGAGTCTTTGACCCTGCCATGGGCTCCTGGCATGGGCTTCAGAAGCCCAGCTGGGGGCACCGAGTGCTCATTGCCTGCATGCCAGATTGTAGTAAAGAATTACAACAAGGGTCCCTGTGTCAGCTCTGCAGCCCCAGCTCCAAACAGGAAGACTGAGGCCTGGGGGAGAGTGGTGCTCACCTTAGGTCACCGGGCAAGGACTGAAACTGGTACCCTGTCCCCACCTCCGCTCTGCCACAGGGTGAAAGAACAGGGGCTCTTCACTCCTCCGAGAAGCCTAGCTGAAGGCAGGTGGTGCCTGAGTAGCCCTGGGCATCCTGCTCTGACACCTGCAGCGTCAGCAGGCCTAGAGCCTATGGCTGCCAACCCCCCAGTGAGGGGCAGGAACTTGGGCCCAGGCATCCATGGGGCCTGAGCAGGCATGGGTGTATGTGGGGGAGCTGACATGGACCCAGGCTGCTCATGTCCTCAGGCCAGTCCCCAGCTCTGATAGCAGGAGGATCACCCCCGCCCCCTACAACCCCAGGACAATACAGATGGAGGGGCTGGGGCACAACCAGCCCGACCCAAGGCTCTGCGGGTGCCACGGATTCAAGTCTAGATGAGCTCTGATTCTGGGGAGGGAGGGAGGGTGGTGTGCCTTGGTGATGCTCCAGGGACGAGCTCCCCACCCCCAGGCCCTCTTGCAGGCTGGGCACAGGTTGGGTGGAGCAACATCCGGGAAGGCTTTTCCCGTCATCGGGAAGGAAGAGCCTTTTCTGGCATCGGCCACCTCATTTCCGCAGCCGTTCCCAGCCTTGACAGTCTCCCATGGCCATTAGACACTTGGGGTCCTGGCCCAGAACGGCCTGGCAAAGGTCCAGGGGCAGGAACTTTCTCAGCGTACAAGAGCCTAATCCTGGGGGGTCTCTGTTTCCTCCTCTCTGGGAAGCACTTGATGCCTCACTTGAAAGGAGGAGGTGGGCGAGGACAGTGCTGAGAGGGCGTGTCTGCAGCCCTCACCCACAGACCCCGAGTGGGCGGCCCCTGACCCCTGCTGCCGGTCTCTAGGACACCAGGCCTGTCACCAGTGAGGCAGGGGCTGCTGCAAGAGGGGGGTCTTGGAGCAGAGATGGGTACCCCGCCCCCTTGGTTACAGCCCTACAAAGCAGCAGGCCTTGACTGACAGTATCACCTCTGGGGCTGTGCATGGGTACTGCGAGCTGATGGACAGGTCCCAGCAGCCCAGCCCTGACCTCTGACTTCATGTGGGCTGGGGCAGCCCTAATTCCTAAGATGAAGAGAAATGAGGCGGAGGGTGAGGGGCAGGGGTGTGCCAGGGTCTCTGTTAGGACTCTATCCTCCGGCCCTTCTGAGGAGGGAAACTGAGGTGGACAAGGAGATGGTAGCAGGAGCAGGAGGGGAAGGGTCCCTCCTGGACACCCTCGTGGGCGCTAGGGAGGGGTGGCCCCCAGCCCCTTCATCACACCCCCACGCTGTGAGGGGCCCCAGAGGAAGGCCCAGGGGCTGGGCTGGCCCCCTGGCTCCCGGCCTAATCCTCTTTTAATGAGCGGCCAGCCGGAAGGCCTCAGCCCCTGGCCACAGCCTTGCAAACCTGGAGCTCCAGCCAGGCCGAGCGGGGGGCAGGGCAGCCCTAAAGCCTTTGTAGGCACCTTTCTCCCTGCTCAGCACCCCACCTCCCACATTCCTCAATGCCAGGCTCCCAGCATCTCCAGGGACACACCAGGGTGACATGTGCCTTGTGCTAACCCTCTTCTAGGCATGTACCATTTATTCAGGTCCAGGTCCCACATGGGGCTGAGCAGGGGAAGCTGTCACCTTTGATTCAGGGGCTGGGAGACCCTCTACCATCCCTAGGGTTGTTCTAGATGGGAGCCCCTAGAAGCCAGACCCAAGGGTTTCCCTGGGGCTTAAGCTGTCTGCTCCCTGGGGGGTGGGGGGGGCAGGCTCCAGGTTCCTCTGGCCCCAAGTCCATCAAACTCTGTCTTCTCCAATCCCATCTCTGCATCAGGTTGTCCAGAGCGGAGACCCACAGGCCTCCCTAGGAGCCATCCAGACTCTGTCTTCTCCAATCCCATCTCTGCATCAGGCTGTCCAGAGCGGAGACCCACAGGCCTCCCTAGGAGCGATCCAGACTCTGTCTTCTCCAATCCCATCTCTGCATCAGGCTGTCCAGAGCGGAGACCCACAGGCCTCCCTAGGAGCCATCCAGACTCGCCCCTCTTCCCCCTAGGCAGGTGAGCCAGGTCGGTGCCAACAAAACCAATTACAGCAGCTCTCACCCAATTAGCAACTAATTATGGCCTCGTAGTCCATTCAACATAATTAACATGTAAATGACTCCGCGTGTTTATATTCAATAACGGCTCTGATT